AGGGGGTTGGACTGGATGGCCTTGAAAGGTCCCTTCCCACCCAAACCAATCTGCGAGTCGATGATTGAGAAGGAAACTGGGGTGGGCTGGGAAGAGGGGGCTTAGGATGGGGGAGCTGGACTGAGGGTCTGGGAAGGGAGGAGAAACTGGGGGGAAGTGGGGGCTTTGCAGGCAGCAGCAGGTGGAGTAGAGAGGAGGGTTAAGGGGATTGGGAAAGGAACATGTGGGGCAGGAAAGCAGAGAAAAATTGAGTTGGGAGAGAAGAATTAGTATATTGATTAAGGAGCTAAACTTGGGCTGGTGTTGAGGAGCACTGGAGCATGGAGAAGTGAGATGAGGGGCTCAAATGGCAGCGGGGTTATCGGGAGATAGGGCTGGGAAGGGGGGATTGAAGGAGGGTCTGTGAGAATCACAGGGAAAGCCCATACTGGAGAGTGAAGCGAAGAACGACCTGGGGTGGGGGGCCTGGGAGTGGGACAGGGAGCTTGAGGTGGAGGGGAAGCACTGTGTCAGGCTTGTGGAGGGGTTGGAAGATGGTGAGCTGGAGAAAAGGGGGTGAGCACTGGGGCATGGACTGGTAGAAAATCATCAGTGGGAGTGCAGGGACGTGATGTGAGCATTGATGGGTGAGTACATTCACAAGGCGGGGAAGCGAGGGTGAAAGATTTGGGGCCAGGCTGGCACTTCTGGCTAACTTCATTTCTTTGAAAGTCAATTCTGGTAATGGTAAGCTCAGCCGTTACCCAGGAGGTCTTGTCTTCCCTTTCCTGCCCTGCTTAGGAAACGTGTCTGCATAGTTCTTTTTCTTTCTCACCAAACTTCATCCGCAGTGGACAAATCGATGTGGCTTCCCAGGTGGTTGCGTCCCACTGTGCCATCAGGACTGTACTTGATAATGTCTCGAAGTTACCATGGATATTGGCTTTCTCTTTAAACCCCGTTTGAGCTGTCAGTCCTCGTGCAGCTGCATCATATACTGATGTGTATGAATCACAGAATGTTCGGGGATGGAAGGGACCTCTGTGGGTCACCCAGCCCAACCCCCTGCCCAAGCAGGGTCACCCAGAGCAGGCTGCACAGCACCGTGGCCAGGCGGGGCTGGAATATCTCCAGAGAAGGAGACTCCCCAGCCCCTCTGGGCAGCCTGGGCCAGGGCTCCGTCACCCTCAGAGGGAAGAAGTTCTTCCTCGGGTTCAGCTGGAGCTTCCCAGGCTTCAGTTTGTGCCCGTTGCCCCTTGTCCTGTTGCTGGGCACCACTGGAAAGAGTCTGGCCCCATCCTCCTGACACCCACCCTGCAGATATTTAGAGGTATTTTGAAGGTCCCCTCTCAGCCTTCTCTTCTCCAGGCTGAACAAGCCCAGCTCCCTCAGCCTCTCCTCATAGGAGAGATGCTCCTCATCCTCGCAGCCCTCCCCTGGACTCTCTCCAGTAGCTCCTCATCTTTCTTGAACTGGGGAGCCCAGCACTGGATGCAGTACTGCAGATGGGGCCTCACTAGAGAGTTTTAGCAGAGCTGAAACTGATACCACTGAGAAGTATTTGCAGCTGATCGTTGGTAAGCTGTTTGGTTTGGGAGAGTTTTAAGCTTTTCATCCTCTTCTCTTTTCTTACAGCAGGAAACGACTGATTGCCATGGGTTCAAATATTTTCCTCTGATTTGCCGCTCACTGGGCCGAAGTGAGGAAATGGCTACGGAAGCCAAGTACAGCATCGTTCGCGAAGTGGGCCGGGGGAGCTACGGGGTGGTCTACGAGGCCGTCGTTAATCGAACTAGAAGCAAAGTAGCCGTCAAAAGGATGCACTGTAACGTGCCCGAAAACGTAGAGCTGGCTCTGCAAGAGTTCTGGGCCCTGCAGAGCATCCAGAGGCAACACGAGAACGTGATCCAGTTGGAGGAGTGTATCCTGCAGTACGGCCAAGTCTTCCAGCCAATTAGCCACCGTTACAGGAAATCAGACAGCCATTTGCTGCTGATTGAGACCTGCCTGAAAGGCCGGAGGTGCATGGATCCCAAATCGGCCTGCTTTCTGTGGTTCGTGATGGAGTTTTGCGACGGGGGCAACATGAACGAGTACCTGCTGTCTCGCAGCCCGGACGCTCAGCTGAACAACAGCTTCATGCGGCAGCTCAGCAGCGCCGTGGCTTTCCTGCACAGAAACCAGATAGTGCACAGAGACCTGAAAGCTGACAACATTTTGATTTCTCATCGGTGTGGAAGTCCCATCGTAAAGGTAAGGGAAGAAAACTTTGCGCTAACAAGCACATGATCTATGTGCTTATGCCTCACGTGCTTGGGAAAGGGCTTTTGGTTAGGTCTTGCGATACTTGTAATAAATGTGCTCGGAACATCTGGTATCAGTTGTGGGCTTTTCTTTTTAGGAGTCTTGGAAGGAAGTAGAGGTGACGGTGATGTGTTTCTGTAACGTCCTCCATCCGCTGCTTATCCCGTTGAGAGGAGCGGTTC